TGTCAAACTCTTCCTCTTGAATAAGATAATGAAAATTTAGGTTTATAATTGGACGCATGAGCAGCTAAAAGTGGAGTCGTAGTCACATGATGACCAAACCACACATCACATGATGGAGAAACGACGATGTTTGGGTCGTCGTTTTTGGACCATTATGAAGTCGATTGTCTAATTGACAATCGACTTGATAATGGTCCAGTCGAAACCTCGTCGTCTCCTCATCCTCTGGTGTGTGGTTTGGTCATCATATATATATATCACTGAAAGTTGTACAATAAGTGCCAGTTAAAAACAACGCCGTCCAGTTAAAAAAGCTAACCAAACCCTAGGATTAATCACGTGTACCTTTGACCAAAAAAAGGTAGTTATTCAACTGCATAAATATTTGGTGCGCCCTCACTTGGATTATTGTATCCAAGCATGGAGACCTCATCATCAGAAAGACATATCTGCATTAGAGAAAGTTCAACACCGGACAACAAAAATCATTCCAGAATTAAGTCAACTCCAATAACAGAAACGGTTGAGGGCCAACAACACTGCAGACCAGGCATGACAGGGCGGATCTCATATAGAAACGTTTTAAAATACTGAACAAATTGGAGGATGTTAATCCGGAAAATTTCTTCAAAATGTCAGATGTAACACAAACAAGGAACAACGGATTCAAGCTCAACAAGCCACAATGTAGGACTGAGAACAGAAGATGCTTTGTCAGCCACAGGGTTGCACACATGGAACTACCTACCCGCCGAAGCCGTAAATGCCTAAACTCTGAACTTTAAAATCCATCTAGAAAAAATCATCTGGACAAATAGAGGACCGTTGACAAGACGCCGGCTTCCTGCCCTCCTCGAAGCTACTAAAGTGTTAGTGACTCAGGTAAATTCTTTAGCCCTGAAGAATTTATCCAATATATATACAGTAAACTCTCAGTGTATATACATCAAGAAATAGGGTAAATTATTCTTGGTAAACATTTGAAATCAAACTAATAACGCTGACAAACAAGGTGACTAATTGTGATATGAAAATCACCTGTTAAACATCAACACAAATTTTACACACTATTTTCTTTTTATACTTTAATCATAAAAAACGTGTTTATGGCATTCAAGGAAGTACTATTTTAAAAATAAAACTCAGCCCATACTATACAGATTTAAACAATATTTGGCATATGTATGCAAGATAATACATTATCCTTTCACTTTAAAGGGAAAGTATATTTATACATGTAGGCTTATTCAATCTCGTGGTGAAAATCTAATTATGAAGAACTCCGAATTATGAAGAATTATGAAGCATATATCGGTACGTAATTATTATTTGATAGGCTGTCACTATCTCTCCACAGATGTAAGTTGTTTAATATAGAGACTGTACCTGAGGTCGGTCTCGAACCTAGTGTTGATGAAACAATATACATTAAGTATTGTAACTAGTTCATCAAGACTGTAACTTGCTTAGCTAAATGAATTGTGGGGTTCAGTCCCTAAGCCCATTATGTGCCTCTGTAACCCTTTCACTACCGCCCACAGGACGGGTATGGGGTGCATAATAAATGAAATAAACTGAACAAGGCTGTTAATAATAGGCAACTTTCATCTATATTAATTTGGGCATTTATTATATTAACAAATAAGGAATCAAGGAGAGACGACCTTAGCTGGTGTCGACCATGACAGGGGCCACTCATGGAGGCATCAGTTCCATTACCACGAGTTGTTGCTCTCATCTTCCTCTCACCTGAAGCTGATATGAGCCTCGTTGAGGAAGATATACTGGTGATAATAATATCACCCTTAGACTCCCCTCACGCATCAAGATTATATATCTTGGTGATGGTCCGGCTAGTTCATTTATTATGTATCCCATAGCCATCTTGGTGATGGTCCGGCGAAAAGGAAAGTTTTAGTTAGTTTAGTTCAGTTATTATGCACCCCCATACTCATCTTATGGGCGGTAGTGGAAAGGGTTACAGAGGCACATAATGGGCTCAGGGACTGAACCCCACAATTCATTTAGCTAAGCAAGTTACAATCTTGATGAGCTAGTTACAAAATTCAGTATAAGTCGTCACATCATCAATGGGTTCGAGATTGACCACAAGTACACTTTCTAAATTAACTGACATATGTGGAGAGCTAGTGTCACAATTGATATGTTTGTCCTGCACACCGCCCCCCATCCAGTGGGCAGCGGTGGATAGGTTACAATCACTCAGTTACTACCTACAATTAGCAAACTGGGGATATTTGGCTAAAAATTTCTGGTAGCAGATCATTTTGAATGAAATGTTTACACATCGTTGGAATATTGGTTATAGAATTGTCTCTGAATTCACGTATCTTTTCGCACTCCATCACATAGTGACGGAGGGTGTGTGCGAAAGGAAATATATATATTCTTTCATTCAACATGATGTACTACCAGAAATATTAACTAAATATCAAAGGTTTGCCTACTTTATTTGTTTATTTATCTATATACAAGAGTGTACAATAGCTATGATAGCACATATTTTGGTGACTACAGTAATTGGTACGTTCTCGCAAAGCGACTAACATGCAGCGTTTCGAGCAAGTCACAATTAATAATTAATAATTAATTAATCTTTAATTAATCACTAATAATTAATGAATAATTAATCATTCATTCATAATTATATAATTTAGAAATAAAACTAGCGACTCAACTGTGCAATGAAAATTTGGAGTATATTTAGAGTTAACATAATTACTGTATATGATTACTGTATATAATGCATTTTCCTCCCTGTATATAACATTAGTAATAGTAATAGTTGGTGATATAGAGAAATTATATGGAAATTATGTGGACCAAGCATTACAGTGGATTCAATGAGGTTTTAATGTTTAAGATTGACATAAGACGCAGGAAAATTAAGAATACAATAATTATGCTACTTTCTTATTACATTTTTTTTTGTGTGTATGAATATGTAGGCAGGAAGGTTACTCAGTAGACAAAATATTGAAGTTTTGTAAGACAGGCTCAAGTACTGTATATATAACATTTGGGGTTTAAGGCTCATGCTCTGTGATGACCTGAAACATTGGTTTACTGAGAATTATATCATCTATATGTAATGTAGTATTTCCCTTGTAAATTGATGTATATATGACATTTATACTGTATATTATTTAATAAAGAGAGAAAAAAAGCTACAACTGGGAACCAACTTTCTTCTGTCCGACGCTGTGGTACTTTAGCTCCACAGTGTAGGCTGCTCGTGTATCTATTTCATGTGTCGATAATATATTTTAGGAAATAACTATATATGAAATTCCTGTCCACCGGTGAATTGTTCAAGTTTTCGAGTTTTGCGATCATATGTTATCAGGGCCTTAACAGTCTTCACACACACACACGTGTATAAGACAACGGGTCCTCTCAAAGCTTTTTGAAACAGGTTTTGCTTTTAGTTTGGGCTGTACACATTCTCTTAGCGCGTCTTGCAATTTACGGATTGTCAGCAATTTTACAGAAAGAAAGAAAGACAGAAAGATCAAGATGCTCTACTGGAGGAGTGTTTTTTCGTAAATTATAAAGGCTACAGTACTCTAAATTATTTCCATGCTTAATAATAAAACAGGTTTTTAAAAAGATCTTTCTCTATGCCTCTTACACTCTGTAGCATACATAAATCTGTGTATCTATGTATTTACGTATGTAGCTTAGCCTAGCATTTTAAAAGCACTACAGTCACCTGTGATTGATTGTTCAATAAATCCCTGAACTATATGTTTGACAAATCTCTCACCCTGTCCATGGAGGACAGAAGAAAATGTATATATTCTGGTTAGCATTGTAAATGTGTGGCCACGTCTGTGGTAGAAAATAATAATAATAAAAATTCTATTGTACACTTATGGTCCTTACTGTAGCCTAATTTATCAACATAGGCTATTTTCAGTAGCTTATATTCTAATATTCAATGAGAGTTTACTTTTATTTCTGGTTTAATAACAAAATAAAATTTCGCCGAGTACATTTTTGGATTACTTTTGAGAACACAATTACATACTTCTAGTTATGTTTGAATTGTTCGTGTGTAACTGCCGAAATTGTTATTATTAAACAGCAAATACCTGCACCCGTGTTTCACTACCACATAGTTGTAACGTAATTATATAAGATTACGTACAAGTTCGTTTGTGACTGGAGTTTCCCACAAATAATGATAGCCTTTCATTAATGTTATGCAAACATACAAAGGTTGTTTGCTAAATCTAATTTTGAAAGTTATCTCAAATTCTTGTAGCTCATCATACCCAACCTCTTGGGTTGGACGGTAGAGCGACGGCCTCACTTCTTGCAGGTCGGCGTTCAATCCCCGACCGTCCAATTGGTTGGGCACCATTCCCTTTCCACCTCCGTCCCATCAATAATCCTTATCCTGATCCCCTTCAAAATGCAACATAGTCGTAATGGCTTGGCGCTTTCCCTTGATAGTTCCCGTTCAGCATACTGAGTTTTCCTGACTGTAGAATAATAATAATAATAATAATAATAATAATAATAATAATAATAATAATAATAATAATAAATTACTTTTTTAATAGCCAATACATTGTAGAAGTTAAAAGTGTTAAATAATTGTATATTATATAAAGTCATTACTTACAGTGTTTCGGGGCACTAATGAATTTTACACTTGAATGGTTCATGACAAATAATGTAATGCATAGTTCATGATTATATAAAGAAATCTGAAATATTATGACCTACACAAACATTGGCAGAATTTTAATTTTAAAATTAGGATCTTTTTGTCAAATTAGGATCTTTAATATGAATCTGTTAATTGCTTGGAACATCTTCACAACAAAATAAATCTCATACTCCTAAACAACGACGTATTATTATTATTATTATTATTATTATTATTTAACTGTACATACATACATCTAGATAAATCTTCTCTTATACGGATATAGAATTCTTATATCTATATGTATTGACAGGATAGTAATGTCAGTGTGTCGTCGGACGTCGGTGTGAGACCACGTGCGCCGGGCTGCCGTCTCCAGGCATAGCAAAAGTATCCACCAATAACACGTAAGTGTATTATTATCATGACTTCTGATAATGCCGACAACAGCGGCAGTTGACGTAGAGCTCGCGAGGGCGTCTGAAGATGTTAGTAAGGTTTGTGTTGCTGGCAGCCATGTTGCCTTTGGCTGAACTTGTGTGTGTGTGGACCCTTGGTGTGTTTACCTTGTAGTAGAGCAGTGGCTGACGTATAGTAGAGCAGTGGCTGACGTGTAGTAGAGCAGCGGCTGACGTGTAGTAGAGCAGTGGCTGACGTGTAGTAGAGGAGTGGCTGACGTGTAGTAGAGCAGTGGCTGACGTATAGTAGAGCAGTGGCTGACGTGTAGTAGAGCAGCGGCTGACGTGTAGTAGAGCAGTGGCTGACGTGTAGTAGAGCAGTGGCTGACGTGTAGTAGAGCAGCGGCTGACGTGTAGTAGAGCAGTGGCTGACGTGTAGTAGAGCAGTGGCTGACGTGTAGTAGAGCAGTGGCTGACGTGTAGTAGAGGAGTGGCTGACGTGTAGTAGAGCAGCGGCTGACGTGTAGTAGAGCAGCGGCTGACGTGTAGTAGAGTGGCTGACGTGTAGTAGAGCAGCGGCTGACGTGTAGTAGAGCAGCGGCTGACGTGTAGTAGAGCAGCGGCTGACGTGTAGTAGAGCAGCGGCTGACGTGTAGTAGAGCAGCGGCTGACGTGTAGTAGAGCAGCGGCTGACGTGTAGTAGAGCAGCGGCTGACGTGTAGTAGAGGAGTGGCTGACGTGTAGTAGAGCAGCGGCTGACGTGTAGTAGAGCAGCGGCTGACGTGTAGTAGAGCAGCGGCTGACGTGTAGTAGAGGAGTGGCTGACGTGTAGTAGAGCAGCGGCTGACGTGTAGTAGAGCAGCGGCTGACGTGTAGTAGAGCAGCGGCTGACGTGTAGTAGAGCAGCGGCTGACGTGTAGTAGAGCAGCGGCTGATGTGTAGTAGAGGAGTGGCTGACGTGTAGTAGAGCAGCGGCTGACGTGTAGTAGAGCAGCGGCTGACGTGTAGTAGAGGAGTGGCTGACGTGTAGTAGAGCAGCGGCTGACGTGTAGTAGAGCAGCGGCTGATGTGTAGTAGAGGAGTGGCTGACGTGTAGTAGAGCAGCGGCTGACGTGTAGTAGAGCAGCGGCTGACGTGTAGTAGAGGAGTGGCTGACGTGTAGTAGAGCAGCGGCTGACGTGTAGTAGAGCAGCGGCTGACGTGTAGTAGAGCAGCGGCTGACGTGTAGTAGAGCAGCGGCTGACGTGTAGTAGAGGAGTGGCTGACGTGTAGTAGAGCAGCGGCTGACGTGTAGTAGAGCAGCGGCTGACGTGTAGTAGAGCAGCGGCTGACGTGTAGTAGAGGAGTGGCTGACGTGTAGTAGAGCAGCGGCTGACGTGTAGTAGAGCAGTGGCTGACGTGTAGTAGAGCAGCGGCTGACGTGTAGTAGAGCAGTGGCTGACGTGTAGTAGAGCAGTGGCTGACGTGTAGTAGAGCAGCGGCTGACGTGTAGTAGAGCAGCGGCTGACGTGCAGTAGAGCAGTGGTTGACGTCGAGGAGAGGAGCGGCTGACGTAGAGGAGAGGAGCAGCTGACATTAACAAGGCTTTACAATTACTCAAGATAAAGCTAACTGCAACCTGGTGGTACAGCGCGGCCTTTCTTCTTGGAGGTCGGCGTTCAATCCCCGATCGTCCTAGTGGTTGGGCACCATTCATTTATCCGATCTCAAATCCTAGCCCTCATGTCCCCTTCAGGTGCCATATATTTGTAATAGCTTAGTGCTTTATCCTCATAATCACCTTACCTGCCTCATAGTAATAATGGGTAATTCCTATAGTAATTCCCCCATACCTCAAAAGTACAAGAAATGATTATTTTCACAGTTCGTTTGTATTTATTATATTTCACTTATTGGAATTACAGTAGTGATATATTAGGGTTGATCACTATGAAACAGGACTCAGGCTATACCTGTCGGTAATAGTATTATTTTGTAAATGGTTCATTACCTATTGAATTTTGGGGATTTTCTTTACAGTTTATTATTTTATTAATTTATTCGTTTCTTTTATTTGGTGGGAATATGCCAAATTTTAGCCAATTCATATAAAATTTCAGTTTTGAAAATGAAAGTTAGCCAATCCTTATGAAACTTTGGCTTTGTGCGAGTCATTTTGTAGGTGATTTCTTGGCTGTTGGAATTGATTGCAGTTGAGTTAAGTAGTGGTTGATGAAATTTTCGTTTAGTCGCCCACAGCATTTGTACGTTCTTTGGGTTATATCATTATCAAGGGTGTGGATTGGTGGGAATATAAGATTAATTCATGTTGTCGGAGATAGGAAGCTTGTATTTATTCTTATTGAGGTACCCTGGGGTCAACTTCTGACCTCCTTCAGGATTCACACTCAAATTCAAATACTTTATTCATAAATGTTTGTATATTTATGGTTGGGTTTGTTTACACAAATTAAAGTAAATTATTTACCTAAGAGAAAGTCGTAATAATAGCATATTATGTAATAACTATAATTATATACTGTATATTAAAGCTTTATATTTAGAAGCTACATTTATCACTTATTTGAAAAAAAGCATTACAATTGTCAAATTCAGAAGCAGAAACTATGTAACAACTTATATAAATCATTACAGTAATGGCTGAACTAAACAGGTATACATCAGTCTCAACGAAACTTACATTTTTGGCCAAGTGAACAGCGGTATCTGGTGAAAGAACACGTCCCACTGTTTCTATCCTCCCCAGGAATTGAACCCGGGTCCCTCTATTGTGAGTCTCGGACTTAGGCTATTGTGCTACTGTATAGAGTAATGTGGTCTATTATTCTAGTGATGCCTTTATATGGCCAGTGTTTCGCTCCCATTTTCCAATCGTCAGCTGTCCTGTATTTGAATCTTAGATATATCTTCCTATTGAAAAGCTGACTTCACCAATTCTTCATATTACATGAACTCAAATAGAAAATTAGTGTGAAAATCACTTTAGGCCTCAAAGCCATTCATTAAGTAGATAGAAAGCTGTGGAAAGTCCCCGAGATGCTCGTTTAAATCAACATACATAGTTTCGTATTAGATGCTATAAACATTTATGAGTGGGACGTTACGTTGTAAATAAATGTTTACCGTTGGATTACTATTGGCACAAGATGTGTATTGCTTAACTTTCATAATCGGTTTCGATCTCTATGACTGAAACGGCAGCGCTTACAGGCCATAACTATTAGAGATAAATTTAGGTTGCTTTTAGTAGAACTGCGAGACTCACAACGGGTATGCCACAAGGAAACTGGATTACTCCTGTTCTAATTTACTTGCACTGGCTGCTTATTAAAGCCAGAAGTATGTTTTACGATTGTGTGTTGACATGTACAGCAGTGATTGCCGTAACACCAAAGTACTTAAGTAATAAAGTCGAGAAATTTGCGATTGCTGCCACAGTACAAACAAGGTATATTTTGGATGAGTATAGATTGTCGGAGCCCCGTACATTTAAGAAAACTGGCAACAGGGCTTTCTCCTATTGCGCTTCTAGACTATCACAGGCTGCAGGCGGATATCAAACGTGCTAAAATTTTGACCTCTATCAAGATTAAATAGAAGACCTAGTTCGGAATCTTGTACAATACTTGGGACATGACGATTACGGGTGAGTTTCATGTATGAAATGGATAGACCGCCTGTGCAGACGTTATGAATGGATACTCATTTACACATTGTGTGATTTCAAAGATATTGTGGGCCCTCCGAGTTAATATCGTCTTGAAGGTCAAAAACTACTACAATTAAACAAATAAAATCCCTAGACTGTATACAGGTATCTAAAAATAAGTTTGTTAATTATGCCGACTTTGAGTGTTTCTGCAACAATCAGACAATATTCCCCGGTTCACGCCCTTGAACCTCAAAATGAGGTGTGTCAATTTTCACAGACTGCGGAGATTGCACTCTGAAATACTGGGCGACCCTATAAACCCGGCCGAGGAGAGTGTGGCGGGCAGGTATAAATTAGATTAGTCAGATAAATATACAAATGGTTATATCAGTTAACGTCAAAATTTAAGAAATTTTAATTTCTGCTGGGTCTTGCCTTACGTCAGAACTCGGGGAAATAAGTAAGCAGACCTTTACTTAAAAAGAACAGCTGAATATAGTACATTGTGCATCACCTCATTACCGGCACTCTGTGGGCCTGTACCAAATAACCCAGCGACCTATAGAACTGTTCGAAAAATGTCGTGAATTGTCATCATGAATTAAAAAAAAATATGAATGATAAAGGAGCATTTGAATACGGTCGTAGGATTAAAAAAAAATTGGAGTGTATATACTGTACAACAATAACAAAAATACTGAACCGTGAAATGGTAGCTAGCACTAGAAAAACTACTAGGATGGCTGCTGAACCACATATAACATATTACTTGTCCAGAGGTTACCCAATTCACCTGTTTCTTACGTCATCATTTCTGTAATGCACCAGATATTCGTGTAAATGCAAGTCGACGTGTTCTCACTTTGGAATTTTCTTAATGTGATCACACATCATTAAGTTGCTGTCAAGTGAGCTGTCATGATCTCCGGATGATTGTGTGTAGGCGGCATACTAAATAAATCATATAATTAAGATTACAGTTTGACATTTAATTTATAAATGTTCTCTTTAGTTTTTGGCCATATGTTAAGAACAAAATAGCTTAGCTCTATAGGTGACGAGTTAAACTTCATTAGTTTAAAATAAACAAACGTCCGAAGGTAATGTCTAATTTATTATCGTTCAAAATTCGCCACCCCATCCTCCAAAAATTATTATAGTACCAAAAGCTTCTTAGGATACAATTTACAAAATATGGACCCCCAAAACTGTTTTGTACTTAGGAAAGTAGAGGATATATTACAATCACTAAAACAGATTAACTATAAACTTAACATAACCTGCCAGAGTCCCAAATAAGCAGTCCTAGGACTAAATAAGCAATCCTAGGTCTAACAGCAATCTTAGGCTTAATTTA